TCAAGGCCATGTGGCCGCGGGATTGGATGAGTTCCGGTTTCCCGGAACTCCACAGCATGTTCATTACACCTCAGCCTTGGCGTCATACTATGTGGACCTGTCCGTCTACGAAGTGCAGGTTCATGAACGTCTACGAAAATGGTGCCTGCACCACGGTCTGCCCCTGGACCAATTCCACGCACCCCTCATGCAGCACCTACGCAATGAATTTCGGAAACACCGGCAGCACGCATCCACCTATCAACTTCTCACCAAGCACCAGCTGAACATCCTGCATCGGCACCTCAGCCAGGACTTTGTGTGCCACAACGAGGACCATGACAACCACCACCTCATGTTCTTCTGCCCCCAACTCTACTTCAAAGGCCTCCGCAACACCTGGCTTCAGTCCGGCACATTTGCCGCCACTTCCCTGAAGCCCGACCAGGCCGAGGCTCTTATTGTTGAAGCTATCCCGCGGCACCTGCAGAAGAGGTACAAATGGGAATACAGGAAGAAGACCACCGCGATCCCGGTCGGCAAGGTCTTTCTCAAACGTAAGAAGCAATGGAAATCAGGGCGAACTATTATAGCCTACCATAAGGTGGTGCACCGGCAGCTCTTCAAAGCAGTTGCGATCCTTCTCGGCGAGATCGCAGCGAGTACGTGGAAGTGTTCGTGGGGGGTACACCCCGCGCCGAGGATATGGCAGAACGTCAAACAATACTTTGACAACACAGACGATACAGTCACTCTTGCATTTCACAATGACGATTTGGTCGGCTTCTTCAACAGTGTCCCTCAGGATCAGGTGTGCGCAGCAGTTGAGCAGCTATTAGCAGAGCATCGGCGAGAGCATGCTGGTCTTATTTATTCAGTGGAAACTCAGGCGGCGGTTCACTATAACCGGGTCTTTGCGGGTAAGCAATCCTACGGACGCACACCGACCACGCGGGTCATTTATGTGGAAGACATCCTGGATATAGTCAGATCCAGCTTCCAATGCATGTACGTCCAGGTGGGAACCCTCATTCTTCGCCAAGTCCACGGAACAGCGATTGGCTCTCAGCTGAGCCCAGTCCTCAGTCACATTTGCGTCGCGCGGCACGAAGTTCTCTGGCAGCGTATTTACGGACAATGGTTCGCCAGCCACAACATCTTCTTGGAGCGATATGTCGACAACAGATTTGTGATTTTCCCGTCTCCGGCTTCTGGTCACCCAGCAGCCCCGTTGGAGGCTCTGCTTCACGCTGACTTTTATGGTGCACCCATCGTGTTGGAACAGGTAGGTTCCTCGGAGTTCCTCGGCTTTGTCATCGACGTAGGCGACCGGGCGATTTACTACAAAACCCCAACAAAAATCTGGCAGATCAGAGGACCCCACACTGCAGGAAGTCTCTCCACCCTTCTCTCCGGGGCTAGATCACGGTCAGCTCTCGCCACCAAGTATGCGCACCCGACACGGGCAGTACAGATGGCGTTGGATCAGCTTCGCAGTATCTATTTGTCCGCCGGCTACAAGTCAGCGGATCTGCAGCACCTGTTTCATCTTCCGGCCATCCCAACCGGAAAGAATGTTTATGTGCTGGTTGTCGTTGTCTCTTGAGGTTCGGCTGCGTGGCCCTTGCTGGTCTTGTTTGGTTCGGTCTTTCCCAAACGGGGTCGGGCTCGGTTGGGCTGTTGGGCTTGGTTTGTTCTGTTTGAGTTCCGGAGCCATTTGATTCGCGGGTTTATCACGGAGCTTATCTGGTGGTTCAAGACGTGGGCCTTTTCGCCGATATCGGAACGTGGTCGTCATGCTCGGACGCATGATTGCACTCCACCACCGGATGACCCAGAACGCTGCGGACATGATGCAGCTCATCCAGGAGACCTTGAATCAGGCAGACGAGGCACACAGTCGCAGGATTCATGGTGGGCACGATGGCGCGTGGCATCCTCATCTCCGAGGTCTATCGCTGGCAGAATCTTCGCGACCGCGAGCACATGACCATGCCCGACTCGATGAGGTAGAACCACCTGGCCCCGGGATTCGGCACTCGGTCAACTCGGAGGATCTGGCTGACCCTCCACCGCTAGCCGACGCTCAGTCACTCCAGCTACACGTGGACCACCAGCGCAACGCGGTGGTCAACCCCAAGTCGCTGTCCTACGGCATCGTCACGGGGGATGCCAACGAGGCTATAGATCCACGCCCGAAGAGCTCCATGGCGCACACCCATGTCGGTCAGCCGAGCATCAAGAAGGCCAATGTTCCCAGCTCCATCATGGACAAGGGTGAGACCGGTCGGCGCAGAGCGAAGCGGAAGCGATGCCGAGCTACATCCTCCGAGAGGACACAATCCCCGGAGCCTCCAGCGCGTCCAGTACCTCGCACTCCAGCGCCGGCTCCAGTATCTCCTTGCGTGGGCCCATTCTCCTCTCCTGAATCCCTTCCTGAAGCCCCTGCTCGTGCTCACTCCGATGTTGGCAATCCAGGAACTCCCCCGGAGGTACCTCGCGCCTGGACAGAGGAAGATGACCAGCAGCTTTGCAGCCTGAAAGCGGACAACCGGTCCAAGTACTCGTACAAATCGCTGGCCAAGAAGCTCAACAGGTCCATTGCGGATGTCACGCAGCGCTGGAGGAGCCTGGAGCGTCTCAGAAAGTTGAAGGAGCAGCACCAGAAAGCGACCATCTCGAACCAATGCACCTGAGCTCAGACGGCGATGCTACATGGTAAAATGATCGTGAGCAGTTAGGCAGGAGTTCTGCCAACAGTCTAAACTACCCATCGGCAATCATGATGGAGGCGGCTTTTTGGCGGTTTTTCTTCCCCCTGCGGGGGGTGTGTGTGTGGCCCCCCTGTTCCTAAGGGGTTTTGCGGTCGTGCTTTTCTCTCTTTATTGGAGTCGGACGCCACACCTTGACGAATGCCCCGGAATGCAGTAATCCTGTTGGCAGATGGCGTTCCTGATGAGGATTGCCGGCAGGATGAACAATTACCGGGCTTACGTCAAGCCGAAACTCCTCTTTTCACCTTTCACCTTTCAGTTGCTTGGGGGTGCACCTTGGCAGTTTCGCCGTCTCATATCAAGTGTGTGTGTGTGTGTGTGTGTGTGTGTGTGTGTGTGTGTGTGTGTGTGTGTGTGTGTGTGTGTGTGTGTGTGTGTGTGTGTGTGTGTGTGTGTGTGTGTGTGTGTGTGTGTGTGTGTGTGTGTGTGTGTGTGTGTGTGTGTGTGTGTGTGTGTGTGTGTGTGTGTGTGTGTGTGTGTGTGTGTGTGTGTGTGTGTGTGTGTGTGTGTGTGTGTGTGTGTGTGTGTGTGTGTGTGTGTGTGTGTGTGTGTGTGTGTGTGTGTGTGTGTGTGTGTGTGTGTGTGTGTGTGTGTGTGTGTGTGTGTGTGTGTGTGTGTGTGTGTGTGTGTTGTGTGTGTGTGTGTGTGTGTGTGTGTGTGTGTGTGTGTGTGTGTGTGTGTGTGTGTGTGTGTGTGTGTGTGTGTGTGTGTGTGTGTGTGTGTGTTTGTTTGTTTGCCTATCTGCCTATCTGCCTGTCTGTCTGTCAGCCTGTCTGTCTGTCAGCCTGTCTGTCTGTCTGCCTGCCTGTCTGTCTACTTGATTGTGTGAATTCCTGCTAGTTAGTTTGTTTGATTGCTGGTTGCTTGCTTTGCTTTGCTCTGCTCTGCTCTGCTCTGCTTTGCTTTGCTTTGCTTTGCTTTGCCTTTCTTGCTTGCTTGCTTGCCGTGTGTTTGTCTCATTGTTTCCGTCTTTGATTGCATGTTTGGATGGCTGTTTGTTTATTTGTTTGATCGTTTGCTTGATTGGTTGTCTGTTTGTTTCGTGCGTCTGTTTGTTTGCTTGGTTGCTTGCTGTGTGTTTGTTTAATGGTTTGCTTGATGAGCTGAGTTGCTTGTTTGGTTTGGTTTGGTTTGGTTTGGTTTTAGCTTGGCTTGGTTTGGTTTGGTTTGGATGATTGCTTGTTTATTTTGCTTGTTTGTTTGCGTGATTCTTTCGTTGGTTGGCTTGGTTTGTTTGCTTCTTTCGTTGGTTGGCTTGGTTTGTGTGATTGATTGTTTGCTGGCTTACTGGCTTGTTTGCTTGTTTCCTTGCTCGCTTGCTTGCTTTGGTGTGTGCTTGTGTTTGTAAACTGTTTGTGGTTGGGTTTGTGTTTGTCGGTTGCTTGATTGATTGATTGGTTGGTTGGTTGATTGATGGATTGACGGACTGGCTGACTGACTGACTGATTGATTGATTGGCTGATTCCTTGCTTTGTTGCTTGTTTGTTTGTTTGTTTGTCTGTCTGTCTGTCTGTCTGTCCGTCTGTCTGTCTGTCTGTCTGTGCGTCTGTCTCTGTCTCTGTCTCTCTCTCTCTCTCTTTGTGTCTGTCTCTGTCTCTGTCTGTCTCTCTCTCTCTCTGCCTGTCTCTGTCTGTCTCTGTCTGTCTCCGTCTGTCTCTGTCTGTCGTTGTCTGTCTGTCGGTGTTTGTCTCTGGCTGTCTGTGCTGTCCGTGCCTGTCTGTGTCTGTCTCTGTCTTTCTCTGTCTGTCTCTGTCTGTCTGTCTCTGGTTGTTTGCTTGTTTGGTTGCTTGTTTGTGGTCAAGATGCTATTTCGCTAGCCTGTGTTGTTTGCTAGGTTGTCTGTGTGCTTACTTGTTGTTCTTTGCTTTGTGCGCAGGTTTTGGAATGCCACTGTATCTGAAGAATAGACAATGTCACTTTCGCTGAGGGCATTTGTGAAGTGAACTCCGGATGTCACTGGAAACGTCGATCCCTGATTTGTCAACATGAAGGGGAAAACAGGTGGTTTCGCCAAAGGTGAAGAACCCCTTCTCTTGGCTGGTTTTGGTGTGCCATTAGCCTCGAGGACCATTGGGAAACAAATGGCATCTCCCTAAAACGTGCAACAGGACAGACCTTTTGCTCCAGAGGTAACCCAGCTTTAAGCCGGGATCCCCGTGTAAATCAAGCAGGGGTTCACTCAAGTTTCCCATGGGGGGGACGAAAGAGGAAGGACGCTTTAAAAGGCCCAAGCAATCCCCTTCGCGCCTGCAGCATGAGCTGCTTTCGCGTGTGTCGCCAGACTTTCACTGCGTCCTGTCGCCCACATGGGGGTACGCAGAAACACACATATTCTGCGATTCTGCTTCGTCCTTAGTCAACCTAAAGCAGAAAAGTGGTTTGGACGAGACCCCAGTTGTCAAGCTTTCCCGCACTTCCATTTCGGCCAGTTGGGGACTGGCTTTTCTTCTAAAGAGGGGGTTGCAACCCAACTGGGCGCCTCTGAAGTTGCTTTGCCCCTGATGTCTTGATTCCAAAGGTCCAGGTCCCAGACCCTTTGATGCGAAGCAGCCCAAAAGCCCAAACAAACTCTCCAAAATTGGGCGTTGACCAGGTGAGGCATGATCTAAGGCCCCAAAGGGTCCACGGTCCAGCCCCAAAAATTAGCATCAAAAGGGTGGATATCCGCACTGGTTGGGACCGTCCCTTCCTAACCTTCGCTTGCCGGGGCTTGAGTTGATGTTTGTGTTCTTTTGTTGTTTTTTCCTTCGAGAAACACAGGTAAGGTCCATGAAGAAGCCCTCCAGACTGCCTGAGAACTACCCCTCAAGGAAGAAAATCATGGACCCGAAGCGAGAGAGGCCCCTAGGCCTTCGGCTCTTAGAACTTAGAAGCTTAGGTCTCAGGGCTTTGAGAACTTCTCTCGGTGGGTCCTACGGATCACAAGAGCCCCACGAAGCACCAACTTCTGAGGATCAACCGGATGCTACTTGTGGAGCAGGTTCAAAGACCGAGCTTGATTGATCATCACCAACCAAAGAGTAAGCAACCAACCAACCAACCAACCAACCAACCAACCAACCAACCAACCAACCAACCAACCAACCAACCAACCAACCAACCAAGCAACCCACCTACCCACCCACCAAAACCAGTCGACCAACCAGTCAACCAACCAACCAAACCAAACCAACTAAACCAAACCAAACCACCCAAACCAAACCAAACCACCCAACCCAACCCAACCCAAACCAAACCAAACCAACCCGAACCAAGCAAGCAAGCAAACAAACAAGTCACATCACACCAAACTAAACCAAACCCAGCCAAATCAAAAGCGAGAAAGCAACCAAGCAAGCAACCAGGCAACAAAGCAACCATTCAACCAAGCAAACAAGCAACCAAGCAACCAAGCAACCAAGCAACCAGAAGCAACCAGGCAACCAGGGAACTAAGCAGGCAGGCCAGTAAGCAAGCAAACCAAGCAAGGTAACATTCGAACAAACACACACAAACAAACAAACAGACAGACAGACAGACAGACAGACGGACGGACGGACGGACGGACGGACGGACGAACGGACGGACGGACGGACGGACGGACGGGCGGGCGGGCGGGCAGGCAGGCAGGCAGGTAGGCAGACTGGCAGGTAGCAAGGCGGCAGGCATGAGGCAGGCAGACAAACAAACGGAAGGACGGACGGACCGACGGACAGACGAATGGACAGACGGCAGGCAGACAGACAAACAAACAGATAGGCAGGCAGGCAAACAGGCAGACAGGCACAGTAAAACACGTGCGCCGTGACGAGATTAAGGCAAACGCAAGGGAGGTATGGGGTCTATCACCTAGTAGACTCAAAAGCTCCACGATAATTTGGTGCTGAGAAACGCCTGCTTGATGCTGAATTGAGCACCTAAGAGGGAATCACCAGAAAACAATAACACATCCAAGGATCCCAGTGGCCATGGGAATAAAACGGGCCCTTTGGTGGTAGTTGACCCCCAGGAAAAAGGACAGGCTGTTTGCGAAAAGGACCCACGGGGCAATCAAACAGAAACCACATGTGGGCCAGAAGGACAGGCGTTCGAGTGCTTGTGCATGTGCTTAGCGGTCGAGGCGCTGCATTTTCCGTATTGGCCAAGGCAGTGTGTACTTCGGTCTGATCAGCTGAGGAAAACCATCGACGGGCACAAGCTCGGAAAGGGACTTTGCTCACCCCAAACCTTAATAAAACCTTTGAACACTTCACCTCAGATCAACCATGAACAACCAAAGGTGGGTCAACAGTTTACCAAAGACAACAGTGACAACTCCCTCAAAGCTTCGCGAAGTGAGGGGATGATGTCGAAATCCATAAGCTCTGGAAATACCGCACATGGCCATTCAATGGTCCGTGAAGTCGTGAAGTTCCCGCTCCGCTGTCTCTGAATCAGTACAGTTGGGCGAAAGTAGATGGCTCCATGCCTCCAGTTGTTTTTGTCATGTCCTTTTCTTGCCCACATGCAGGGAAATGCAGGCGTATGCGTAAGCCTGTAGCTTTGAGTTGTTGCTGCTGAATGCCAACCGTTTGTCACACGCTCTCTGCGCCTTCCCAAGAGGCAAACCAAGAGAATCGTGCATGGCTGTGGGTCAAAAATAGGTACCCCAAATGGAACCCCCAGTAAGTGCACACATGGACCACAACCTGCGGTCCCCTGGTTTAATTCTGACCCATACCCACGTGGTTGGTAACTAGTTGCCCAACGTGGCCCCAGTCCTCGAGCTCTTCGAATGTGAAACGGACGCCAGATGCCAATAGTCCGCAATGATTTCTCCTAGGCACCTGCTCTAAAGCCACTTCAAGTCTTCAACAACAAATCCAGCTCGAGAGCGCGTGGCCATGCCACTTCGAATCCTCTGCCAGTTGGGCTGAGACCCGACGAGCTGCGATCGCTGGTTTTTTCGGCTCCGCAACCGAAAACATTCATGATTTGGTTGATCTAGGTCGAAACAAACAAAAACACCAAGTGAGATATGACATAAGTAACTACATGTCCACGGTGGGATACGACTTTTGACTCCAACTCTAAACTCAAGTCTAAGCCTTTTAAGCGCCTGAGGAACCGTGTTGGGACCTGAGGTAAGTTGAGGTGTTCTGCGGTTCCCCTTTACAGCAACCCCGTTTGGCCTGTACCGAGCCACCAAAAGTCATGGTTTTTGAGGAAGGCCTTTTGTGGCTGGTTCAAAGGCAAACCGAAAGGTAAGCAGACCAGCTGACGATGTCTTTAGAGAAAGGGCGCTTCCCCAAGGCTCGGTAAGCCTTCCGGAATCCCGGTGCTAAGATCCACCCCTCACTTCCGGCTGTCCTCCGAATAAGACCTTTCTTGAGGCCCCGGGGGGATCCCACCACAAGAATGGGAAGAATGGGATGGCCAAAGAACAAAAAGCCGTCCTAGGAGTTGTGGAAAACTTGGCCCTCGTCAACTAGACGAGAAGTGAAACGCTTACCAAACTTGGTGAATGTTCATTGATTGCTTCAATTTGAACAACATAACCGCAACAAGTATCGGAGTCTACGGGTACGGCTGGAAATTGCCGAGTAAACAAGACACCTTTGAAGAGAACCCGTTTCTGGTGCTCATGTCCCCCACGTTCGCCATAAAACTCTTTGTGCCCTATGCTCTGCTGTGTTGCCTATACTGGTCGTGTGACTTTGGTGGTTGCCAGAATACAGTCTAGTGTCCTTGACCTGCAAGTGATCCACTGTTTGCTTGCTAGTCATTGAAATCTGCAAGTTTTGAATCAATGCAAAAAGCTAGAAAGCAACATGGCCTGCCAAAGGGCGAATGGGTTACAAGTAAAAATCCAGTATCCTCATCCAAAAGGCGCGTCAAGACAGTAAAGATGGAGATGCCTATAGGACACCACCCCCCTAATCTATGATCTTTGTGCCGAAGGGCGAAGGGCGCGAAACACACAATTTCGCTGCAAACAACTTTGGGCGTGGTTCCTTAACTATACCTTTCTGTGATACCAACATGGGGCGCTCTTATGACTACGCTATCACTCTGAAGGGATTCCCTTCACAAAGACTGGCCTCAAAACCCACCCAGCTCTTGTGGGAACATATAACTTCCAAAAGAGCGGACTTGTTAGGGGAATCCAAATCCATACATGTGTCCCGTCCGAGAAACCAGAGCGAAACGAACAAACAAAATGGCGGTGGGTCACCTCATGTAGAGGGAAACAAAAACACATAGATCACATACTGATTCAAAGCCATAGGCTCATAGGTGAGCTATTGCCGCCACATAGTGAGTACTGACTACACGACTTGGGCCACTCATGGCTCCCTCTATGGCTCTTCACTATTTGAGACTCGCAAAACGTGGCTGGAGCTTCGGGCAAGTTCCTTCGTAGCTCAGGGCCAGACTTAGACTTCCTTCCGCCCGCAACGCAAAGGGACAAACATCTCGCCCGCAACGAAACCGCATCCAAATTCCACATGGCAAGCACATCGATCGCAACTTTCGGTCATTCAGGTAGATCCCTTCCCGATAGTATGCAAGTATGTTTTCCAAACCCCTGATCTCCCAATGCCGAATTCTGAATTCGCAACACTAGACTGTCAAAGGGGGACCCGGGAAGGGATTCAGTGAGTGCTCAGCGAAATCCCTACCGCATCCTGCCGCATATTGGTGAAACACTACCCGCCCACATCTGAAGGGAAGCAACGTGGTCGAAATCACTTGCGCGCGCTTCAGAGCAATAGCCAACGGCAAGAATGAATCATAATCTCCCACTTGTACCTGCAAAACGGTGCTGGCTAGTCAGCGGCATCATTGAATTTGTACATATGTATGTCTATGCATGCATTCATCTCTCTCTCTCTCTCTCTCTCTCGCTCTTTGTGCATGTGTCAAAATGTATGTATGACGCGCGTACATAGGCAGGCAGGCAAGCCGGCAGGGAGGTTGGAAGATGGGTAAAAGATACGAACATGCCCGCGCGCATGCGTGCATGCATGCATAAATCCATGCATACATAACGTGACATTATATTGCATTACATCGCATTACAGTACATACATACATACATACATTACATTACATTACATTACATTACATTACATTACATTACATTACATTACATTACATTACATTACATTACATTACATTACACATTACATTACATTACATACATACATACATACATACATACATACATACATACATACATACATACATACATACATACATACATACATACATACATACATACATACATTACATACATACATACATACATACATACATTACATACATACATACATT